GTTGGACAGGTGTACCTAATAAAGTGGCCGGTGAGTGTATATTGAAAAATGTTACATAACAAATTATTCTTATAGAAGTACAAATGACCTTTTCCAAGTTATGTTTATTTAGTATTTAGAACATAACCTAACAGACAGTATTATTAGAAAAAATATTAAATTTACATGTTTACATGTTTTTAGTATTCATTTTTTAGGACTTACTCTCTATCAACTTTTTTGTCTATCATATCTACAATCCAGCAAATCAAGTAAAAAAATAAAAACCTCATTAAAATCCAAATATTTGACTTTAACATAAGAAAAGAAAACAGGAAAGGATAATTAACGTCGATTCTGTGTTATTCTTTCCACACAAAAATCAAAGATTAATGAAAATTATTCAAACTTAAGTTTCTTTCTTACTATAAAAGCCATTATTGTTTTTAAAGTTTAGTTGTCATGAGAAGAATGCACCAAACACAGAGACAAAAAGAGAAACTACAAAACCACTTCATGTTAAACGTTTTACCTTTGGGGACGGAAAAAATGTTAATGACGGCCAGATTTGGCCCAGGGGCCTTGAGTTTGTCACATGCACAAAACTGGCAATATTATTTGTATATGTTCTGTTCTGAGGTGGATAAATACCWGTCAAAAAACAGCACATCTCATTTACACCAGTGCTCCAAAGACACAGGAAGTGAGCAGTAGATCGAGTCCTCTCTCACGCTGGTGAATGTTTTCTATCGTATGTAAAGTAACGACAGTTCAGCTCCTCGGTGCGGCCGCGTGGGGGGAAATCCGTCAGCTGTTACGTCTGCCACGTTGATAAATGCGACGTTTTGATTACGAGCTGAGACAGATCGCGGCGCGCTAAAACCCAATAAAACATTTTAATCTGTTCTTATGACTGTTAAAGGGGCTTAATTCAATATGGATGAGCTCCTGAGTGTTAGAGAAGCATCTCATTAAGAGAGCGTTCTTCACTCTGACACCTAATCAAAAGCTTTGTGTCGGAGCTGTGGCTTGTGTTTTAGTAAGCCCATGAGTTCCAATCTAACTAGCTGTAACTAGGTGGCTGCGGTACCTGTAAGGCTCGGCCATGTTTGAGTTGTACACCTGGGACTGTGGGTGGTAAAAATATCACAGYCCTTGATTTGCTCTCTGAGCTGCACCACGTCCAGAAGTTGTTCAAGGTTTTTCTTGCTTTTTTCTCTGTCCAACTCAGTTCCAACACATTATATAGTTAAAGGGCCAATATTATGTGTTTCTCAGTCATACATTTAAATACTATACCATAATAAAGTATCTATGTCACCTTTAGCTGTTATTAAAATGCTGTTTTTATGTTTAAATAGAAAATAAACTTA